CAGCCAGGAAATATTAAAATATATTATTTAAAAAGTACTCTAGCTGTTATTTCCCACAGCAATGATAACATAACCTTCTTTTCACCTACCTCATCTTGGATGAATTTCATTCTAGCCATCGAGGGACACATATATGGATACTTATACTTGAAGGCTTTTTTTAATTTAAGTATTTTGGCAATATTTCTTTCTGCCATTGTCACTGCCCATGTGTGGTATATGGCAGGCCAGCTATCTCTCTCTGCCACCTCCAAAAAACTCTTGGGATATTTGCTGGGATATTTTTTACTGAATTTGAAAGCTCATTTCTCACCATTGTGGTGTAATGCCACCAAAAATGATGTCTAGCAAAACCTGTCAAATAAAAATGGCTGATATTGTATTTATTGAAATATGGTTTTGATCAAGTAGGTTTTGCTACTGAATCAGAGAATGATCTACCAATAACTGTGTATAGAAGCTATTTTTCTAATAGCAAGTTATTAGTATTAATAATATAAATTTTTGAAATGGGGGTTTTTGCTCAAGATTTTATCACAGTAAAATTTTGCACCAGTCTGAGAATGAGACAGTCAAAAAATCTTTTTTATTCAGTTGCCCATTTGTCATGGCATGGCAAGACCAGCAATAATAAAAAGTCACTCTCCATTTCACTGTACTTTCTTATGATTCTCTTCCCACACCACTGCCTCAGAATGCAGTTGAAAAAAAAGGGGTTCCATCAATTGCTCTCCAGACAGAAGGAGATTTTTTAAACGCTCAGTACTGCTTCACATGAAGTACCATCAACTGAGGCTAAATAGCTTCCTGTATGATAATACTTGAGTGTATTTTAAGGTGGAAGAGATCAGAACCTGGAGATATCTTACTCATGAAATTATTCTCCAGTGGTTTTGCACACTCATATTGACAAGGCACTGAAATTATAGCCTCTAATCCCCAAGCATGTCTTTCTGCAGCTTAGTCTTAATTTACAGGCAAAAATAGAGGCAACCACACAATTCCTTGCCTTCTCTGCTCCGTACCATTTCTCCTTTGTTCCTTTAATTTCATTTTTTTATTATTGTGTACTGCTTCCTTTTTTTAAGGCTTCTGTCACACACTTCCCCACAGGTTTTATTCCACTTTTTATTACACTCTTGATTACATCTGCTTGTGGCTTCATGAGCTGATTGAGTGATTTTAGGGGAGACTGGAATGATTTCAGATTAGACAAGAAAAGAGAAATATGGGGTAACAACATGAGTAGAGCAAGCTGCAATAAAAAGAACTGAAAGTACATTTCTCTGAGGACTTAGTTCACATCTGTTTAAAGGAACACTTTTTAAAATGGGCAGTTCATATTAATTTTTCTTTCTTTTAACATACAGCTCCTTCAAGTAATTTGGTTATGATAGATACACTGTCGACCAACTTAATAATCTTAACAGAGGTTAATTAGAGTAAGATAAAAATTTACAATAATATTTTTTAAAGAAAAGATGAAGTTATTTTCCTTGAAAAAACATAGTCACTTTTTGAGGGGGGGAGGGGTGGGAGTATACATATATATATATTTTAGCAAATAAAATAAGAATTTATTTTTCACAGCAAAAGAAAAAAGCCCAACACAAACCAAAACAAAAATATTTCTGCTTAAATTTTTGCTTCAACTGCCTAAAAAATAAAATCCTATGAAACAATAATACGCCTCTTGTGACCTGCTGCTGAGATGATAATGGCATTTGAAACACTAGTTTTGTGAACAGAGCTCTCCTAGACAATGTGACATTGGTTCATTGTAATTTCATCTTGTGTTAAAAACTTAACTCTTGGGGGAGCCTCAGGCACATCATGGTCACATAACACAAGTAAATTTTTTGTATGCAATTATGCTACGCAAAGGTACAGAACAAACCACACATAAATCTGCCTCATTATAGCTATTTGCTATCTTTAGAGTAATTTTAAGATGCCATCTCAAACTCTTACTCTATGTACCTATGCTTTAATATTGCTTTGAAGTATCATTTAACATTGCTGAAAAGATAGCAATATAAAGCAAAAATATTAGAAAAAGCAAAAGTCTCCTGCAGTTTTTCCTTGTCCCTAGACACAATCATGAGTCCTGTAAGATCAGGGCTCTGGGCCTCTGGGGACAACAATTGTGGATAAAGTGAGAAATAGTGCGTTTACTCCTTCTTGTGACATTCTTTATGTGGCTTTTAATACCAACCACACCATTTAGGAGTAACAAAAGCACAGAGACCTGCACAATGACTGTTATCTCTGCTGTGTGTTTTTCCACATATGCAGTGAACTAAAAAATCTCAGTCCCTCACCAACATTTTAAAATGGTAAAGCAGCTGTCTTTCTAAGGAATAGGCACATACCTTTGCTTCCTGTGTAAAGGAAGATAGTCTTCAGGGGGAATTCATGGAGGTATTTAGTTCCTGTGTAGAGAATATCTGCTTAAACGTAATGCAATAAAAAGTATGTTAGCTTTGCAAAAGCAAACGTTCTGTCTGTGATATGCCTTAAAACAAGTGTGTCTCAGCAATCTAACAGGTACTTCTGGGTATGGACAAGCCAGATACAAAAATTTTTCTACATCTGATTGAGACAGAATCAATAAAGTTAGATATTTACAAAGTCTGCAGCTGAATTCAAGGTGCTATGAGTCCATTAGACAAAGGGTATTTTGGACAGAAACAGCAAATATGTTAACAAGGCACCTGGGCAATTTGAAGTCCGGGCTTTGCTTACAGATGGCTCCTTCTGGAAAGGGTGACAGAACACAGCCCATGATGGGTTACATTACTGAGTATCTGCAAATACAGAGATATCGCCAAGAAAGCCTACCATCTGTATTGTCTAGGGAAGAGTATTCTATGGATTAAAAAACAAACAAACAAGTAAAACAAGAGCAGGTGCCCTGTTACTGCATTTATCTTCCTTCACTTTTCAGGCACAAGAAACTGTATTTTTTTCTAAATTATTGTAGAACTCTCAGCCGTCAACTATTTCTTTCCTAACAGGTATTTACAGACTCTAAGCTACCCTTATCTTTCTGTTTGTTAAACTAGCACATTTAACTGAAGATTATGTACAAAATCACAATACAAACTGTGTTTCTGAACAGACCTGCTACTAAAAATATATATATGAAATACACAGGGAAACTTGTCCCAGCTTCATCTAATCTAGCACCTTCCTTACTGCCCTGTACTATATACTAAGGTGTCTAACAAAAACACCTACTCTGAGATCATTTATATGCTTAAAAGACCTGCAGATTATATGAGCTCATTATTTCTGGATAGGTTTGGGTATACACATGTGAAAACACTATAATTGCACTGAGCTCCCCAATGCTTCTATCATTTGCAGTTTTTTACTGAATAAGTAACATTTTTAGGATATACGTTAAAAAATGTCTCATATTACCTATATTACACATTTGTTGTTTAGTTTAGTTCTTATTACAGCTACTTTAAAGTCCTGTCAAAAGAATTATATTTTTTACACAGTTCAACATTATTTTCTCCCATTAAAGACTGAAGTTGAAATATGTATCAAACCATTGTCCAACAGACATTTACTGCAGTCTCTTTACGTTCCTGTTCTTTCTCATAGTTGTTCTCAGTCTTGTGAAAACAACGCTTTTAAACATCAAATGCGTGCTGGTGTGCGAATAAGTTCATGTGAAAAATAAATATGCATACTTTCTCTCTCTCTCTCTAGATATAATATATGAACAAGTCATGATCATTCAAACTTAATAACTTTTCAGCTCTCTGATCCATTTCAGGACCTCCTCGGGTTTTTTTATCAAAGAAAGTGTGTTTAGCAGTGTTTAGGAGTTGTACTATCAGTAAACCCTCTTCAGTGGATATAAAGGTGTCAGATAAAATGAAAGAAAGTATCTTCAGTTCCACTATTAACTGTTCTCTGCATTTCATCTTATACAAGCAATATTGTAATCAGACATATAATACTTGCCAGTTAGTGGCCAAGATAATCACAGAACGGGACAAAAAGATAAAAAAGGAGGACAGTGAGAACTACTGACCAGCCAGCCTTCCATGCCCAGTAGGAACATGGAGCAGATCCTGCTTGAAGACATGCCTAAACATATGAAAGACAGAGAGGTGATTAGAGACAGCCAACGTGACTTCACCAGTGGAAAATCATGCCTGAATAATCTGGTGGCCCTCTACAATGGAGTGACTGCATCAGTGGACAAGGAAAGAGCTACAAATGCCATCTACCTAGACTTCTTCTACAGTTTCCCTCAGCACTCTGGCCACTAAATTGGAGACAGATGGGTTTGAGAGATGTACTGTTAGGTGAATAAGGAACTGACTGGCTGGATGTATACAAAGAGTTATAGTCAATGGCTCAATGTCCAAGTGAAAATGGATAACTAGTAGTGTTTCTCAAGGTCTGTGCTGGGACCAATACTAATATCTTCATCAACGACATAAACAGTGGGATTGAGAGCACCCTCAGCAAGTTTGTAGGCAACATCAAGCTGAATGGTGAAGTTGATTTCCTAGAGGGAAAGAATGTCATCCAGGAGGATCTTGACAGGCTTGAAGAGTGATCCCATGTGAGCCTCATGAGATGAGGCCTTCAACAAGGCCAAGTGTAAGGTTCTGCCCATAGGTCAGGGCAATCTCCGGTGTCAATACAGGTTGAGGGGTGAATGAATTGAGAGCAGGCCTACAGAGAAGGACTTGAGGGCTTTGGTTGATAAGAGAGTAGGCATGACCTGGCAATGTGCACTTGCAACTCAGAAAGCGAGTTGTACCCTGGGCTGCATCAAAAGCACCATGGCTTGCAGGTCAGTGGAGCTGATTCTTCTCTGTTCTTGTGAAGCCCCACTTGGAGTACTGCATGTATGTTTGGGGCCCACAGGAAAGACATGGATCTTTTAGAATGGGTCCAGAGGAGAGCCATAAAAATGGTCAGAAGCCTGGAACACTTCTTCTATGAGGAAAGGCTGAGAGAGGTGAGGTTTTCCAGTTTGGACAAGACAAGGCTCTGGGATACTCTATTGCAGCCTTTAAATGTATACAGGGGGCTTAAAGAAAGACAGAGAAAGATTTTTTACCAAGGCCTGTAGTTTAAATTGAGAAACGGTAACTTTAGATTGAACATAAGAATACATTTTTCTATGATGAGGGTGATGAGGCACGAGAACAGGTTGCCCAGAGAAGATACTGATGTCCTGTCATCAAAAATATTCAAGGCCAAACTGGATGGTGCTTTGAACAATCTGGTCTACTGAAAGATGTCCCTGCTGATTGCAGTGCAAGTTGGACTAGATGATTTAGAAAGGTGTCTTCCAACCCAAACCATTCTATGACTTCGTGAAGATACCTTCGCAGCGTTAAACATCTATCTATTTTTTCTGTTATCTATTGGTATATCAGCCTTTACCAGTTGCTCTCTCTCTATGACAAAAAGTTCATTTCTCTTAGATAAATAGTCATGCAAGTCATACAAACTGCCTTTTGAGCTTCATTCAGAACAAATCTGTTCTTCAAATACATACACTTTCATGTGTTAAAACATTGGTGTAGAACAAATCAAATATTCTATTTCTTCAGGCAGTGAAATATCAGATTTTTCCTTTAGCCATATCTCATAGCTTTTGCAACAGAAGTGTTTTATAGAAACATGGTTCATTGCTACTGTAAAAATTGAGTCAGTTTAAATACAAAACAACGAAACGTTAGCAAGCAACAAAACTAATCACTACCATATTGTGAAAGTATTGCTACCTTCAAGCAAATTCCTAACATCCAGGGATTCTGATCATTAGCAAGCTGCTGTATGTATTTCCATTGAAGTTTCTCTCCACTTCAGAACTAATAAACTACTCCGATTCTATTTTTCAATTTATTTCAGGACATGCTGCATTGTCAGATTTATCAGGGCAGGATCATCCTCTCATTGGACACACTGCTTGAACAACCAGGGCAAGCCTGTGATGGTGTAAAGTAATTAATTTCCACAGAACTGTATCAGCTCACACCAGCTGAGGTTTGGTCCTTGTACACTGTTATCAGCAGGTAGGTCCCAACACTCCAACAGCTCTTTTGAAAATCTGAAAAGTTAAAGATTCCTCCTGATACATAACTGACACTTAGATATGCTTAGATCTTTCATGAAGCTAGTTTTGATCCATCTAGAAAGGAGGGGGTTTTATTGCTTATATATGGGTGAGATTATATAGTCTAACTCATATTTTATTGACTTCTTTGGATTCATAATTTGTCAAACTAAAAGCAAGGTTACTCCTCAAATTCCAAAATTTCAAGGAAACTGTTAGGACAGATAGTTATAGGCGTACCATTCGCAGAATGGATAACTCTGAAAAGATTGCCTAGCTCTGAATTTCTTTTCCCATGTCACCTCCAGAGAAAAAGAAAATGAAAATGAAAGTGAAATTGAAAACTAAAATGAAAATGAAGACACACGCACCCCTGAACATGACAGTCATGAACTTCAGTTATGGTTTCTTTTGTTTGGTTTGGTTTTGGTTGTGTTTCTTTAAGATTGTGTTATTTCTAAAAGTAACACAATTAAAAATCCTTCTATAACTCTCAGGAAAATAAATTTAAAAAAATGTCTTGCAAGGTTTTCTTCTTGACTTTTTCATAGAAATTTCAGGTAAGTGCAAAGCAGTTTAGATGGTTAGTCAAATAGAATTAAATTTTAGATAATATAAGGGTTGACAGCATTTTCTTTTAAAAAGACTTTAAGAAAAATTTTAACATAAGGTAGATTACTCTAGAGAAATCAGTCCTAAACTTCTTTTCCTGTTTCAACATCAGTATTGCTAACAGTAAATTTTCAATACATGAATTAATCACAGAATCATAGAAAGTCTTGCATTGGAAGGGATCTTAAAGTTCATCCAATTCCAACCCCCTCATTTACATAACATTTACACCTGCATATCTATATTTGCAATACATATGTGTCCTGATACTTCTTTTTTCTTAAAAACTCCAATAAATATTTTACTGGGAAGTAAGAACACATTTTCAAATGAAAGGTAACCAAAACCTTAATTTTAAAAGTAGAACCCTTTTTATATTTTTCTTTTGGAAATATCTGAAAAAATCAACAAGAAAAAAAAAGAAGAGAATCCTTACTGCATGGAATCCTTACTGCCTCTTGTTTTTATTCCAAATAATGATGGAAAACATGAAAGTTTCCCAAAATTGTTCTCTGACATCTCATTTCATTGCTTCCTATAAAGGCTAAGTCAGCCTTTTAGGAACTGAAATGATAACTTTGGTTGTTCAGTTGTCTGCTTAAACTTAAGAAAAAAAATCATTGAACTTCACCTGTCATTAAACTCTTCTCCCATAAATTGTTATCTCCTCAACTTTTGTTCTCCTATGAAGTCTATAGCACATAATGCTGCCCCTGTGCCAGGCTCGTCAGCCAAACTCATGACCTGTGACACATGACACCAGTTGAGCACAAGGGAAGAGGAAGGCACCCACCTGGCAACGGATGTGGCCAGACCTGCAGAGAAGAGACGATCCACTCAAACCACAAAGGACCAGCAGTTCAGTCAAGAAGAAATTCTATGTGAACTCAGAGGGAATGTTGTGATTTGATTTAAGAAAATGAAAGATTTTTTGAGTCTAAACATCCTCCAATGCAGTATTTTATTTTTTCCACAGAAAATAATTTGGACAAAATCGTGAATTGCCTGAGGTAGTTCTGAACTCTGTGCAAAATGTACAATGTCTTTAGGCAATATTGGATAAAAAATTACCATATCGGTTTGAACTAATATAAAATGGATTAAGAAAAGAGTTTTCTTTTGACATTTGATATTTTTCAGTTGGCCCACAGAGTACACTCAACATCTTCATTTACCTATTCACAAGCATATGCTAGAGGAACTACACTTTAGATTTTTGCAGTTACATTTCCAAAGCTGGTATTTTAGTCTCCTTTACTTTCATACCAAAAGGAGTAGTGTTTAAAAGAAACTTATTCTAAAAGGCAAGTAGTATATAAGAATTTTGATCAAGAAACCCAATGATTTTATAGCTGTAAGGAAGACAGGAATCACAGGGTGTTATAGGAAAGGCATCTGTCATATAATGTTGAAATGCTGAAACAAGATGTTTTAAGAAGTTTAGCATGTGTCTCTGTGTACATGTGGGAGGGAGAGGACACTATGTGTAACAGCAAGTGTGTAGATAATTAGTAGATGATGATAATACAAGAGGAAAGAAAACCACAAAATGTTACTTAATACCCTCAGGCTTACATAAAAACCTAATAGATGCAAACTGCATGGGGTAAACAAAAGAAAAATTATTGTGTATGAAGGAATAATTGAAAGCTGCATTCATGCAAGCATATTGTTTTTCATTATTTATTGACAGAAAACCTGTAGATAAAACACCCACTAATCTTTAATGTCACAAACCCTGAGGCCCATAAAACCTGGATGTAAAGAGATTAATAAAGAGGTAGACAGAATCAAGGAGGATGTATAAATTGTCCTCAGTGTTCAGTAGAAGTATAAATTTTGTAGAGATCTCATAAATTATACTAAATAATTCAGTTTTATTTAGCTAGTACTGCTGCATATTTTAGAGTGATACAGAATAGTAATAACAGACATTCCAGATTATAAGAAGGGTTCAATAATAATTCCTCTACCCTTTTTATCATCAGCAGTTATCATTCTGTGAAAGAAATGGGACAGATACTTAGTCTGAAATAATTCTTAAGAGAGATCCTACATCACAAATCTTCTAGTTTTTAATAAAAGTTACAATGTTAGTGATTGACATCATGACAAAACTGATCTTGTCAAGTGAACATCAAAATCTCATAAAGAATAATAGGAAAGAAATTAACTAGTAAATATGGAAGAAAAAAAAAGAAAGAAAAAATAAATCTGAAGTTTTTGAGGAGTTTCTTATATTTGGTTAAAAAGTATTGTCTTTTGTTTTGCTCCTCATTCAGATATTTTTCACGGGTCACATGATAAAGCAGATCTCAGTTATCTGAACTTTAATTCAATATTCAACTATTTAATTCAATTTCATTCAATTTGAAGCTGAAGCATGGTTATATCTATAGCTTTGAATATTACAAATAGGATAGTTACTAGGCGTGAAACAAATCCACTGAGAAAATAGAAATGTTGCTTGTTTCAATCAAACAGTGGATATAAGGCCCATCCTGATCTGAATTGCCTGTTGCTACATGATTCCCGCAGATATTTCTATGCTAGTCTGATCAGTATCAAAATTTAAACAAAGTCCTGTGGTTTTGCAAAGTGTTACAGAGAAACTTTAGCTCCAAGGGCCGATACATCTCCCACCAAATCGTGACCAGTCCAACTTAACAGACTTTCTGGCTGTCAGTGCTTCCAGAGGAGCACAAAACAATAGGAATGAGGATCTGGCTGTGTGTTTAATCCTACGGGGACCTGAATAAATCTCTTCAACTCCTTTCAAGTCTTCAGAGGCTGGTAATCATTAGCATATAAATAATTATAGAACGAATACACCATCTTAGGCTTTAAAAACTCCTTTGACTTTTGTCTGTCATGCAGCACTTCAGGTGTTTCACATATATCCACTGGAGTCAGCAAAATTTATGACTTACATGGTTTGTATTTTTCACTATGCGGAGTATAGATTAGCAAAACAGATGTACAAAGCCTGGGACAAATCTGACTGTGCTGAATTTTACCACTAGCAGAAAGAAATCTGCATCTTGCTATGATTAAACTCAGCAGGAAGAGTCACAATAAATTGTGTTAAATCAAGCGTGACCTTACAAAGTCTTAATACAGATCAAACAAATTTAGAAATGATTTTTCATGGTTAGGCATACAAAATACCAAACAGACAGAAATGCAGGAAGAAAGACAAAAAAACCTATTACAATATTGTGCCAGCATTTGAATTACTCAAATTTGTATTAACAGAGAAGTACATTAATGTTTGTTTATAAAGACAATTCTAGGGACCTTCCCTTACTGAGTAAATGCCACTGGAAATATTTAAATCTGGAATTTTTTACAGCTTGGACACATGCCTATCTTCTCAGTTAAGCGATAAAGCTAGAAAGGAAAAGGTAGAGAAGGTGTGAAAGGGCACAAATACTGCATTTTTCTCTAACACTGTTAGCATTGCAATATTCCTGTTGTCTCCTGTGTGTGCATGACAGACTGCTGCTGTAGGTATGGAAGATAAAGAATGTGCATCCTGGCACATTTTACCTGTGATGTAGATACCCAGGTATGCAGTGCAGGAAAGGAAGAAAATAGCTGGACAAGCCCAGAAGTAATTTTTCAAAACCCTGAAGCTTTATTGGAATAAAAAATGTTAGTTACTGAATCTAGATTGATACCAAAGTCAGTGAAAAGCAAGAAGAGAAATTTAAAATTTGTCTCTTAAAATTTATTGGAATAGTAAAGATTTTGTATGTCTGGGGTAGGTATAATACTTAATGTCTACTTAGTGATCACTCTAACAGGGAATTTTACTTGGTATGTAGCAAAACAGAAAGATTAAAGGTGTGGCTACATATACAGTATGTTATTAGTTGTGTCTTTTTTCTTTTGCTGGCCCTACTCAATAAAAAATGCAGAGGAATAAAATTAAATCTCACATAGAGGAAAAATTGGGCATTAATGTGCAAAGTATCTCATGGGTTTTATAGATGTGGGGTGCTAACTGCTTAAAAACCTACAGAACATAATCCAGAGAATTAAATTCGGTGTGGACATTTCTCATGTTGATTGTTCTGTTCACATTGCCAGGCTATATAACTATCATAAATTACATCTGTGTTGCTTTATGTTAACTGAACTGTTGAAAGAGACATGGGTCTTCAGATGTGGAATTGCATTTATTCAAATCTCTGCCACATTCTTTTTTTTTGTGTCGGTATAAGCAAATTTTCCTTCTTGCTTACTTGCTTGATACTTAAGATAGGTACCTGAAATGTTGTCTTGTTTTAGAAAAAGTGTTTACTGTTTATTGTATGGCAGTTTTTATTGAAAATCTTAAGCTATGTTTAAATCCCTAGGACTTTCCGTACCCCCTACTGCGAAAGCTTGTCTTTCTGACTACTGGCATTAAGCAGAGAAACTGAGGGACATAATACAATGCTACTTCGGATCACCTCTGCAAATACTTTAGAATCTTGTCTCTCTGTATTTTTGAAAAATACCATGACATTACAACTCTGTGGGAAATCATGAATGTAAATTACTTGATATATAAAAAGCAGTATATTATTTATTATATTTTCAAATAGCCTACTTCAAAGCAGAGAACATTAATAAACATCAAGGAATTTAAAGCGGTGGTGGTGGGAGAATGCAGAGAAGACTTATGCCTGTAGCTGAAATACAATTTTATTTCTCCTCAGCTAACTAGTCTGCCAATGAAATGCCAGGGCACTGCTGCCTCCCAATCAGTAGCAAATGTGCAAAAATTGATTGAATTATGGAACAGAAATACAGGGAATATAGTACTAAAATAAAAAATGTGAACAACAGGAAGACCCTTTTCCTAATTCTGTGTTTGCCCACTTGTTCAGTGGAGGTAAACAGTTGCAGCACATGTTCCTCATATTGCACCAGAAAAACAATTAATAATTAAGGACCTTGCCTCTAGGTCCTAATTTAACAATGCAAGCCATACTCTAGCTTG